AGCCGTGTCTCTGTCCCCAGCCCCTCTTGGCCCCGCGTCCAGTCCAGGCGTCTGTCTGTTGAGTCTTCAGCCAGTCCGCTAACTTAGTCAAGCTGATCAGCCAGTCTGCAGGGCTGGCCTGGCCGAGTCTTGTCTCTCTCTATCCAACTCTTCTCTTCTCTCTCTTTGCTGTGCCCTCGTCTCGTCCTCGCCCGCCTAATTCTCCATCGCCAGACTGCTCATACCGTCCACTGCCCGTCCTCTCTCCATGCTGTGATATGGGCTCCCCTCGTTATTCGGAGCTGGGACTGTCCCTGGGCATGCTCGAAGAGGATCTCCACTGGTACTGGAAGCTGTTTGCCAGCCTGTCTTCCTGGCTGCTGCTGGCTGGGTACGTAATATACGAATATATGATACATGATAGATATATCCAACTGCCAGCATAACTAACCCATTCTCTCCAGGTTCGTGGTGTTTCCTCTGGCCATCGACCGCAATGCCGACAACCTGCGTGGCGGCACCTTTGCCATCACCGCCGCCGCCATCGCCCTCACCGCCATGGGCTATATCGTCTGCATAGGCTTTGCCCTGCGCTGGCGGAAGAGACACTATCTCGTCGATTTCATCTACATGTATGCTTCTGCTCGTCTCGTCTCTCGTGTCCATGTCCTTATCCTTGACTAACCTCCGTCCCAGCCCATGCTTCGGATCCAGCCTGATTGGCGTATTCAATGTCGCCCTCAATATCATTGTTCGCCGCTTACAACCCCTCGACGCCCTCGCCATCGCCGTTATCACCATTGCCTCCGTCTCCACCGCCGTCTTCGGCGCCGCCGCAGTCTACAACTCCCACAACGTCCTCTTCGTCCCGCGACGCTCCAACTTCCGCCGGCGCAACGAAGACCCCTCGCTCAACGACGCCGAGCTACAACGAAGACAGCTCCTGCGCCTCTATCTGCAAAACGACGCTGATCGCGCCCCGAGCCCCGAAGTGACCCAGAGCACCTTCCGCATCGACCTCCCCGACCCGGGCGTAGACGCCGACGAAGAGCTAACCGTTAAACCCCCACGGCAAACATATGAACGTGGGATCCCGCCCCCTTCCCCGCCCCCGGGCTATGACCCGTCTCGAAGGTATGACCGCTCGTCATCCGCCGGCAGCATTTCCAAAGGTCCCGGAAGGATACGAGGCCATCCGCCACGAGAGACGAGGCGCAGCATCGTGGAACTGGGTGATCTCTGACACCAGTTTCGATGTTTTCTTTTCCCGGAGTTGTATATATTTCAACAGTTCAAAGCCGTTTGGAGTCGGAGTATGTTGAGCGTTAAAAGAATCTATTCTGGGTAATTTCCGTTTGTTCGATTCTTTTTCATATTACCATCTTTTGGGGGTGTTGGTGTCCTATTACATTTTGGTTTCCTTGTTTTATCAGCGTCTTGTTTTTCTTATTTAGCGATATCCTGGCTCGGCGCATTTTCTCTGGGTTTTGTCATTTCCCATTCCTTTTTCATTTCTGGGCTCAACACGAAGGCTGCTAGGGCATTTTTTCCCCTTGACAGCTTTCGTCCGATTCGATCATACTCACCACATCTCTCCTATCTTGCCACTTATCCTGCGACCATTATTTTGTCCCCTTTCCCAGCCGCCCTATGCTCATTCATATAGGGCTGACATTTTCCTTTCCTTTGTTTTTTTATTTATTTATTTATTCATCGTTTTATGTCTCTATCCAGGGTGAGGTAGGTGTGGTGATTTTCACGAGGAAGGAAAAGGGTATATGCATCGATCGATCAATGAATTTTAACGTCGTCAATTATTATAAATTAGGGGGGATTTTTTATCTTTATATATAATGATTATAATATCAGTGGGGACAAAAATAATAGCTTTCCTCCATTTTCTCCATCCATTGAAGCGGAACAGAACTGAACTGAACAAGAACAGCCATACACACACAACCAAATTGAGATCCAAAACATCCAATCCAAACAGACCAAACCAAACCAAACCAAACCTACTTCGAAAACGGGCCCCCCCTCCCCCCCCCGCCCACACCCAACTCTACATGCTAATCAGAACAAGACCCGAGCCGGGGGGGAAACGGTGGGATTAGTAGTAGACAAGCAAGCAAGCAACCAAACATCCCCCCTCTCCGCTGGACGGGCAACGGACAACGCACAACAGGCAGTTAGTCCACAAATGATTCCCACCAAAAACCATGAATAGCGAGGGGGAAGTCGAACCCGAAAGACTTGACTGGCTGATAGAGGCGGTATATAGTACCACCACTACCATGTATATGGAAGAGGGTTTGGATCCCGGGGCTGAGGATAGGGGGTTGGATGATTGTCTGTCTGTCTGTCTGGGGTTGTTGGAGCAGAAGTGGGATACGTGCAGACTATCTGTATCTGTGAGTACGAGGATGGATGTTCAGTTATTTTCTGGGTAGAATTCCTGTCAACTCTGTTGAATCCATGTCTACATAGATCCAGGGGGCGATGACGTAGTACGAGGCTGGTTAGAAGACTTTCGACAAGCCGGATGGTTAGTATGTCCGGGGGGGGGGTTGGATATTCTGGAGGTGGTTGGTTATATTGAACGACCAGCCTCGGAGTGGCCGTGTGGAAATATGCACAGCTTGTCTTTATTTCTGATGGCGGTGGTTAGGGTTATTTGGGGATATTTCGTGGCAGCCAAATCGACTTCCAATGGACCTCGGCATTTTTGGCGCCAACTTTTAAATATCCGCGAAATGTCACGGGCTGCGACAACTTCTCGTCGTCGGCCTTTCGTTCGTTGAGGATCTTGGTTCTTTAATTTTAAAGATACAGGATCCTTATTTATTCTGCTTGTTTGTTCTTTACTGCTGTCTTCTCTTCCGCTGAGTCTCTCGTTCTGAAGCTGCCCATCCCTCCGCAATCTGCGTGCTTATCGAACCTCTCCGCTCTCCACCATGGGGATCACTTTGTTCAACCCTCCGGCGCAGGATCCCTCCAAGGCGCATATCGAGAATATCCTGGACCTGACCCCCGTGCTCGACATTGGCCCGGTAAGAGTCGCCAAAACCCTCTGTTCAAACAAGTCGTATTTGCATCACCTGAAGAACCCATTCGCTAATCGCCAACCACCCTCATAACAGGATGTCTTCACAAACACCCGTCCCCTATGGCACCCACCCGGAGCCCGTGGAATCTATGGCGGAGCTGCCATTGCCCAATCCCTCGCGGCCGCCCAACTGACCGTCGGCCCAGAATTCTCCCCGCACAGCATGCACTGCTACTTCGTCCTCGCAGGAGACTCACAGCTCCCAATCCTCTACCATGTCGAACGCGTTCGTGACGGGAGATCCTTCGCCACCCGGACCGTGCAGGCGCGGCAAAGGGGCCGGCCTATCTTCACCACCACGCTTAGTTTTGACAGAGAAGGAGGCGGGGGACCGAAGAAGGTGGAACACAGTGCACAAAAGCCAGACGTTCCACTGCCTCCCCCCACTGGCGAGGATAGTGATAGGGGCCCATTCGAGACGAGGAGGGCCGGTATACTCAACAGTATGTCTATATTCGCTGCCTAGTGCGTATGATCAAATTGACGGATTTGGACTAACCCATCATCTCGAACCCCCCCCAGGGACCTCCTCTCGCCCAGAATCAAAAACCATCCGCCAGTTCGTCCGCGCCCGGGGCGACATTTCCACCAGCGGCGGCCACCAAGCCCACCTCTCCGCCCTCGCATACATGTCCGACAGCTACTTCATCGGCACCATCGCGCGCGTCCACGACATCCCGCGCTTCTCCTCCCCCTCCGCCCTGAAAAAGGCGCTCCAGCAACTCAAAAACCCCTCCGATCTCGACAGCGAGACCATCGCCAAGCACCTCAAAGACCTGGCCGACCAGGAAGCTACCGAGATCAAAGCACAGCTGCTGTCCGGATCTACAGACATCGTGCTGCCGAAGCCTGATAAGGAGATTGGGATGATGGTGTCTTTGGATCATACGATTTATTTCCATAACCGGCGCGGGTTCAGGGCGGATGAGTGGTTGTTGATTGAGATGGCGAGTCCGTGGGCGGGGGATGGGAGGGGGTTGGTTATGCAGAAGATGTGGGCGCAGGATGGGACGTTGGTGGCTACGTGTGTGCAGGAGGTGGGTTATTTTTCTTAGGCTGCCTGCCCCCTGAAGGGGATTATTCTGTGGTCATCTATATGCTAACTTCTACTTTTCATTTACCAGGGCGTCGTACGGCTGAAGCAAGACAGCGCCAGCAAGCCGAATAAACTATAGAAAGGGATTTGTCCTTTGTCTATTTCATTTCACCCTATGTTTATATTTTACTATCTGTTTATTATTATTTTTTGGTTGGTTGGTGCATACATTGCTATTCAAGGACACTTCAATCTACAGGGAACGTTTGGTGAACATCTCTTAGAATCTGTTTCCTATTTTTTTTGTGGTTATATACATACACGCTACATATCCCCGGCGGACGGAACGTTTCATAGACCTACTTTTCCTTCCCTCCCCATTTTTTTTAGATCCATTGCGCATGCTATTTCAATTCCGCTATTGGTTTATTAATACTTTCCTGCCTGTTCTTCCGTTTTCTTACCTGTCTATACTGCCATGTATGCCACTGCTATCCCAAACATTTTCTCATCCTATTTTGGTCTGCCCCCTCTTGATATTGACAGATGAGAAATCCCACGGCTCTCAAAATCTCCCCACGCCGGCCTGTCTGTTCCCTAATCTTCGTCAGATAATGATGCAATATGCGATTTTCTCAATCCATAATTGGGGCATCCTACCACAACTAATCTCAAAAATATAGGACTGGCGAAAGCCCCCCTAGCAACCACAAGCCTTTCCATGTAATGATCGAGGTAATTACATATCGTCTTCACATGATTTATCCACTTTCAAGCCCCCTATCACATCTGTCGCTTCTGCAATGTGTCGTTGAAGACACTTTAGGTTGGGCTATGCGGAAATCGATCCAAAGAGGGTCCTCGGCTTCGGAGAATCAAGGTCCCGTAGCTCAGTTGGTTAGAGCGTGGTGCTAATAACGCCAAGGTCGCGAGTTCGACCCTCGTCGGGACCAGTTTCATTTTTTTTTTCGTCTCTTATTTTTTTTGGGTTTTTTTTCCACGCAGTGTTGGTTGGGCTGGCGTGATGCCTTTTTTCTTCGTCATTTGTGATGGGAGAAAGCATGACGACGGCGGCCAAGAAATGGGAGCATGAGAATACAACAGGATTCTGTCCACGGACTACCCCATGGCAGAGTTCATATCTGGACCCTCCTCGCGGAGTGCAGTCAGACCTGGGCCACGGGGATGGACGAATGACGGGAAGAAACGAGTATCTCGAAGATGCCGCTTGCACATTCACCGCCACAGACTGAACCAGAGCTGATCACGGACCGCACGGTTGGAAGCTATTTCGTGGTGGGCGGCATGGTAATAACATGGCCTCCACCATCGATGCGACGATAAAGAGGTAACTATAGTTCAGATAGAAGGTCGAAGAAGCAGATACTCAGTCAAAGTCCTCCTTTTTGATATCCATTGATATCCAACTTTCTGAGCGGGTGGGATTAGACCTATTCCTACCTACAATACATAAGGCGAGACCACAGAATGCACGACGACAACACCATCCTGTTCTTCCATTCATTTCACCTGGCCGTGTTGGAAACTGTACTCCACCGCTTCGTCCGGTGATGGGTAGGTATCCTTGTTAGCTCAGATTGTAGTGATTTGGGCTAGTACTTCAAAGGCGGAGGAATATTCATAATGATTTGACCGGCGGACGACACGTCGTCCGTCGTGGCCGGATTTCGTCTTAGACTTATTTTGGGGAGTTGGGGAGTTGGGGGAGGCTACTGGAATGTATATATAGTTCCCAGACTATCACAGCAATCAACTACCCCATATCCCACCGGGAGAGTACAGTATTTACGGGAGACGAGCTGGGTTGCGCTGACACTGATACCCCCCCCTCTCCATCTCCCTAACTTAACTTGATCTACACAGCATGTTTCTCAACAAGACTTGCAACTGGCTATCCGTAGCCTTCCCATCTCCAGGCCACCACCCTGACATTGTGGTTGGTAAAAGAGGGGTTCGGTACCCCCTCCGCATGCATGCAGGTAAGGATAAAAAAGAATAATTAATTAAGTTTAGTTCATCTGCGTATAAAAACTCCGATAATGGAAGAACCGCCGCCAAAGGAAGGAGAAGTTCCTTACCGGTTAATTTATCATAGTGCTTACATCTCTCTCTTTCTTTCAACCCCGCACCGAAAAAGCTAGCAATAGTTACTGAACTCTCTCTTCATATTTTCATATTGTTCTTCGGAACGATGGGAATGGTGTTTAGTTGATTGATGGGTTGTGTCAGAAAGGTTGACAATAAGCTGAGTTTATATAGCAAGAAAATCAATCAATGGGATTATTTTTGCCCTCCCATGGATCCAGCACGAAGGTTAGATATAACCAAGGACGAACTCTCTCACCCCACAATAAGGGGGTAAAGAAAGACGGATTTTAGGTTAACCTAGTTCCGCTTTCGGCCTAAAAGGTAAGTATCGGATATATATACTACCCCCCCCCCACGACGTCCCCAGACGCCCACATCCATCGTGTCTTTTTCTCCGAAAACTATGCTATTATATATATGTGAATAACGTTTCCCCATCCACCCAATCTGAGTTAAAAAAGTTATTGCGTTGCCACCCATGCCTCGAAGTTATTCGTATACCTCAGTCCCGCCCTCCGCTGGCACCCCTGAGGACTCCTCTGATGCCAGTGTCCTTCCAACGACAGAAAAGGGCGAGATGTATACATTCCCTCCAAATGAAAGGAGGAGATACTTCCCAAATGGCATAACTATTTATACGCTGCTCTCTATTGTTGCTTGTTTTGTTATTTCGATAGGCGGGGCATACTTCGTCGGATCCCATAATATGTCCTGTTTACTACCTAGTCGGGGGAAAAGCCCGGTTCCACATGGTACGCAAGATTTATATATATTATATATACTATATCTCCTTTTACTTCCCCTATCTAACTCATTTCTATCTTGTCTTTCTTGCATGCCAATGCTAAATTAACAAAACCGCCTTTCTAATTCTTTTTTCTATCTACAGTCCCATTAACCAAAGAACCAATCGTTTTCGACATACACGAGCGCTGGAACGGCCACAGCCCGGAAACCGAACAGCTCTGGGCAGACACCCTTATGAACGGGTTCGTGATGTCGTTCGTTTTGGATAACCCGCGGGACTACGATTTGGGACAGGGGGCGCCCGTGGGCAACGGCCGTGAGCGATTTGGTATCAGCATGTACCATCAACTACACTGCTTGGTATGTTCTGGATTCCATCTTTTTTTTGTCGAGGAGATGGGCAATGAAATTTCTTGAATATGCCGTGCTTGGAACCCCTCGTAAACTAACCAACTTTTAACCGCACAAGGCGAGCATCCGCGCGGCGTATTTCCATGGAAACGAAACTCATCAGCATCACGGGCGCGATAATGACAACCCCAGTATGAACGCAATTCTAAAACTGCTGAGGCAGGATCCGCATGTCGAGCATTGTTTCGATTACCTGCGCCAGTCAATTGAGTGTTCGGCGGATCTGACTGTAGAATGGGCACGGGTGGAGGAGGACGGGTCGAGGAAGGATATAGATGGGTGGGGGGTTCCTCATTATCAGTGCAAGGATTTAAGTGTTGTTGAGAAGTATATACGGGAGAATAAATGAAGGATATGTAGGTAGGTATCTAAAACTAACGATATAACGATATATACTATTTACTCATAGGATTTTTTTTTGAAACAGTCCGGGGAAGAGGGGGCGGGGGGGGGGACCTCAGGTTGCCAAGGGCGGGAGTAGTGGTAGTTGATGTTGATTGTTAGATGAATCCTTCGTCTCTTCACCGACCATTATTGTGCTAACAATACCCCTGCTGAATACGCACAGCTTTCTAGCGATGACGCAAGTATCGTTGCCGATCTTGAAAGACGGGAGTAAATATCAAGGATGCTTCCGAGCCAGCCGAACTGGCTAATACCAAGTAGCATGCCAACCCATTTAGCCTCCTTTAAATGTGCCCCTCCATACAAACATGGCTGCGCAGAGAAACGTTGTTTTTAGACGGGGAATTACTTGACCCGTGCTCCTCATTATCTATTCGGAAGGATACCAAATCGTTCGGAAAATTATAGAATAGGTGAAAGACGTCGACGGGACAGTAGTTAAACGACGAATTGAATCGTCCCCTCTGTGTACGTCGCCTTCAAACGATTCTTCCAAGACATCCTTATTCCCTGTCTATTTGGTGGCATTGTAGCCTGTCTTTCCCCCGTCTACCATCCAAAGCCATTTTTTTTTTAAGTAGGCCAAGAATGAAGCCGGCATCCGACAACTCCTCATCAATGTCCAGTTGAAACAGAAACCATAGCATAAAACCCTGTAATGCATTCTATTCGCTAGCCCGGATTGTTTCCTATTTCAAGAGTGGCTGATAGGGCCCTGGTCGATGATCTCTTGATGACAGAAATAAGGCCGCGCCACCCCTGCTCAGCCTTATTGGGCGTGGACGGAGAAAATATAATAATAGACCTTCAGGTTCTCCCATACGGCTGCTGTGGGTGAATCATGATTGGGTTGGTCTCCATGTCTATTGATGATGACCAGAAAATATAAGAACAATGGAAGTTAGGGTTAGGGCTAGATACATAGCCTTAACTCTCACATCAGCGCCCCAGCCGGAAGTGTATCCAAAAAGAGTCAAGGTATCGCTCAAGACAAGCTGGCAGTCTGCCTGATATCAGAGAAGAAGGATGTTAGCGTGGTACTATGTCGCTTCGATTTTGGCTCCGATGGTGGTAGATATGATGGGTCCAGAGCCATAGACATGCATTATGGCGCGAATATAGGGAATTTGAATACTATTATGGAGGGCCTCCTCGAGAGGTCACTGGCCGCATCGCACCACAGTCACAGTGGTGAGCCTCTTTGCATTTTAGAGGGCGCGAATAACCATCAAGCGGTGGTGCGTCTCCTATTTCAGGTGGGCACTTGTGTAAGTAAATATTGATACCAAAAGGAACTGGAATTCTCCGGGACATTGAAAGTGGGCCAGTAAAGGGCCTGTCTGCTCCTTTCGATAGTTCTAGTCCCCTAAGACTATCATACTCCAACTCATCGAATACAACCAAGCAGAACGATAGGACTGATCTCCGGCAATATCATAGTGACAGTGAAGAAATGCGTCTGGGGCACTGTGCTCATTGCTCTGCCAGCCATCAGTGATAGCTAGACCCAAAAATAAACGGTTATTTAGTGGGGAGGCCCGCCTGGCATTCGCACCGCCTGCTTGTGCCACTCCTCATGGTGAGCTAAAATTGCCTTCCTTCTGTACTATGGATGCGCCCACGCCGCGAAGGATAGATCGAATAAGATGTTTAGAACCTGAATATCGTTGGAGTTTAACGGCTAATCCTAGCATAAATGATATTAATGTACATACCTCTAACTCCGTCAGAATGAATACATGCAAATTTCGGTGGTATTGAGAATAAGTACCTCATTTTCGGAGTTTATTCCAAGGGAGGTCTTGCAGGTGAGATGCTCATCTAGGCCTTGGCTCTTTTGTGACAGCCCAATTTTTAGATACGTGAATTGCAGAACTAGGCTGACCCCTCGTTAGATGTCTCTCGGAACCATCATCGTTGCTATCTGTTTCTTGGTCCTTGTCGTTCTGCGACGAGTTAGCAGTGTTCACAAAAGCCCGAGATACCCAGGAGGTAACCAGAATACGACAATTAGAACCATACCAACTCTATCCAGGCAGTATAATGGCTCGGTTTATGCGAACTAGGCCCCTGCTGACCACTTCCAGATCCCTCGTTGTAGGAGCCCTCCCCATCGGTGTTGCTCATTCGGGAGTTCTTATACTTTTCTCTCCATCCCAAATAAGATGGGCGAAGCATTGGTATGGAAATGCATATGCCCGCTAGCATGAGTTCCACAGTACACAGTATGAAGGTTATGAGAGAGGTACCAGTCAGGTTTCCTATCAAGTTGATAACATGG